CTCCAGCTGGTTTTTTTTGTTTGTTCATCCGGATTGAATAAACATTTTATATCTGAAGGTGTTCGTAGTAAGGGCCTGTCCACAAGACTTTTTACGGGTCTTTTTAAATGCGCGCGACCTCGTATGTGGTGTTCCGTTACCCGAAGTAGACACTCGTGGTTGCCGTCATCGGGGTATTGAAATGATCAATACGGGAACAGGATAAAAATAAATTATTGGTGTTCGAAAACCGCTGCCTATGTCACATTACACGAGTCTGGTGGGGTAACCAGACTAGCAATGTTGAGGTTACTCGCAGAGTTTTAGGTACTTGCCGTCGTCCACTGGAACACGTGGTTGGTCTGCGCATGTTACCAAATAGATAGTCACGACGCTCGACGTTTACCGAGGCAGAGAGCGGTTGGACAAAGGTCAAGGTAGATCAAACTAAAATCTGGCATGAGGGTATGAAAATCCTAACCATGAGACTCGATCAAATAGATCCCGTCAGGGGTCCCGGACGGAGACACCAAGATCGTGGCTACCGGTGGTCAGAGACAATAAGCGGTATGACTGGGTGGCGCTCATGCTTCTACTCGTTATTCTTGCAACCTTAGTCTGTATGAATTTGCTCTCAACATTCCCCTCTTAATTCTGCTCTTTTATCAAAATGGGCTGGTGTGAAAACTGAAACTGTTACCGGAAGCTACCGAATACGTGTCTATCTGATGATTAAACAATGCAAGCCATCTACTGCAGTAGCAAAACGAGGGGGTGTCATACTTCTTGGATGGAAAAGGACCCACCTTATTTATAGGTCTGAGCGGAAATCCACGCTCGGTAAAATGCCAAATCTGATTGTGAGGAAATTGTCCTCATGGGTTACTGTTGTTTTTCGTACGATCATCGTCATCGTATATCGGTACATTTATTTGTCGTTTTTCGACAATAAACAATACTTCAGTGACCAGAGGGTTTGCTGATGTTCGCTGACCTTCTATCTCGATGTCCGTCTCAGGAGGAAATAGAACCAAGCATTGGGAATATAGAAACGCTGTATTCTGAAACTTCAGAAATGTTGAAAGTGAGTTCTGCTAGCCTAGGCCATTATTTTAGCAACGGCAACAGAAATCTAAAAGTAGATGTGAACAGAGCGAAGTAAGCGTGTGATATAGAGCTCATCGTTTGGAAAACTGCCGGTGCGGCCTCTTCCAGCTCATAAAAAGCACGATAGTAGTCAGCATGAGACTTAATCTTAGAAATTTCCAAGTTGGTTTATCTACTGAAGAAACTTTCCCTGGAAGAACACTATCGCCAAATAATGACGATACATGCTAAATCGTGACGGTACACTTAATTGTTCCCGGTGGAGAAGGAACTTATGTTAAATGGGAAAGCACTACGGTGGCCTAGCTTTTGTCATGATCCCACCTGATTGGGGGGCTAAGTCGCTACTTGATCTATGA